ATTTTTATTTAAGTTCTTTTGGACTGAAGCAATGCAACACCCGCTGAGTGCCATTAAACAGCTTGAAAGATCAAAGACAGTTTTTAATATAACTCCAACTGGATTCGTCTGAAAGAAGAAAGTCATATACACCTAGGATGCCTCGGGGGTGAGTAAAACGCAGCCTAATTTTCATTTTTGGGTGAACTAACCCTTTAAGTTGATTTTTCTGAGCGCACTGGCAGATATTTGTCCTTTTTTTACATAATAAATTCACTTAATTTTGATACATTTCTCAGAAAATTGTCTTTAAGAATTTTTGAAGATCAAGATTTAAGAATTTTTAGACATTTGCATTGAAAACGACAAAAATGCCAATGTTCAGTGTGACCAAAAGATACAGTAAAAGTTATTTCCATATTCTAGGTAAACTATTTTTTTGTGTGCAAAATTAATAACAAAAATAATGGAGATCGGTTGAAAGCTGCATTTTCAAACGTTGCTAATACAACTCATGTTCTCCTAAGACTCATGTTCCCTTTAATTTATTTCTTAAATTTTCTTTAATTGGTCTTAAAAACGTCTTGGTCTTTAAAAAGTCTGCCTTCATAAAACTGCAAAAACAATGAAAAGTCACCCAAATTATAATTTGCAACTAACCATAAAATCTTGTATAGTTAAAAAAAAAAAAACACTTGCCTTATCTTGGTGTTGATGTCAAATTAACCAGATGCCAACATGGGTAGGTTGTGTGACATGCAGTCATCCTTGAAAACCAGCAATAAAACTTTTTAAGACAAAATATGACCAGAAGTAAATTCTCTCTCTGTCCTACACTAAAAACCCTGACATTTGCATTGGCCGGTCTGCAGGGCACTGATGGCTGACGTGGGCACTGTTGCATTGGCAGGCTGGCACTGATAAGCTGGCATTCACTCAAGCACACTGATCTAATGCAGTAGAAAACGCTTAGTTCACTACCGAGACAGTTGTTTGTGGCGTATCAGAGTATAAAAGCTTACTGTGTTTGTATGTGTCTCAAAACTCTGGTTTCTTATATCCTAAAACACTTAAGTGAAGTCATTTTCTCGTGCATAAAATCTGAGAAAAGGAAAAGAGAAAGTGCAGCAAACAACAAGACCTAGATTATTATAATAGGAAATTACACATTTCTCAGCATTCCTGCGAGATGTGGCACTTTGCTGTTACCTGTGCATCATTTTCTGTATAGTCATTTTCACTTACTTCTAAGGCAGCATACTAACTTAAATGGAACCTCGTAAGTAGACCTAAATGATTTGGAACACATACACAATTCTATGGATTTTACAAATACAGTTCTGCACAGAAAACTCAACTCTAATAGATTGTAATATTCATTAGCATGTTGCTAAGCTAACACCCCAATACTTTAATATGTGCTCTAGTCAGTTTAGTCAGTTCAGTTTCTTTTACAATGTTTCTAAAACATTTTATTGTGGCTACTTTTTTGTTTACAAAAAAATGAATAGAAAATCTAGAATGCTGAAAAACGTTACATGGTGTAATGTTATGTAATATAAAAATAATTGGAAAAACTGAAACTACACTACATTTTCACGACTCTAAAACTAATTAAAATAAAATAAAAATGGCCACAAATTTAAGTCCTTGATATGAAATATATTGTAAATCTTTTAAATGGTATAAATCACTATCATAAACATAAAAATGCCACTATTAAACGCTAGTATATGTACACACACACAAACACGTACACATTGGCGAGTAATATATATATATATATATATATGAAATTAAATATACTTTATTGTCCCTGGTAGGGAAATTTGGAGTAGACTCAAAACCAACATTCCAACATCAGCTGGTACACCTAAGAATATTAAAAATACTATTCATACAATAGACATACATATCCATATATAAACATTGGTGAGTCCCCCAAACGACTACTCTGCAAATACAGGAAAATCTAACATTATATATGAAAACTTCTAAAATAAAACTATGAAAATCCTGCATACGATGGCCATCACAAATCTGCAAGACTAGTATGCATCAAGTGCGCCATTTGGGACAGAGCCATCGAGTTCTTTCTCACCACACAAGTTCTCCGTGAATCTTAAAGCGTTTAATTATGGCCAAGGAGAAGAAGGATTAACAGATAACTAGGGGAAAAACAACGGAACCCAAATGAGATTGATAGAGATTGAAAGGGAGGCCCATGCAGTGGGGACATTTGCCAGCCGAGTGACCTCTGCCATTTGTAATGAGCAATCATGGAAAACACGCACACACAGACACAAACGAGAGGACGGACGTGGCCAAAATTCGGGCTAAAAAGACTTGGCAGAAAGTGAAAGGGAATGTGTGTGTGTGTGTGTGCGTGTGCCCGGCTTGCCAAGGTTGGCAGGGTCTTTGATTCGCTCTGACAGTCTTTGATGCCCTCCCAGTGCCCGCTGCACCTCTCTCTCACACACACACACACACACACAAACCCTATATGCCAGGATCAGACATAGCAGAACAAGACTGACGTAACGCAGAGGAAAAGATGAGAGCGGGCCGGGAATGAGGCATGAAATGCGGAGGGGGAAAAAAGAGGAATGTTGTTATCATCCTCCGTTAGCGGTCGTACTGAGATTTTTCCCTGGCACGCTTCCTGCATGAGCCGTAGAACACGAGTCTGCTGAATGCGAAAACAGGAGCAGACAGTGGAGAACAGCAGCAGAGACGGAACAGGCTGTTAACGGTAGACACGTGTCCTGCCTCTCGCTCATTTCATCTAGCAGAGCTCCTATTTTGAAGGTAATCCTAATCTGAACCTTCATATAAACGCTAACCCCCAAAATGTGTGAATATTTAGATTCAAAACCAAAATAGTCCTTTTCAAGTTTTGAAAATCTCTGGAGAACAACTACCAGGCCCTTGCGGGAATATCTACTCGCACATACACCTGAGCACTTACAAGCGTTGAGCACTTTAACAAACAACACATCAATGTCTTCTCTGCACATGGGAATAACAACTCGAAGAAAATAAACACGGGACATATAACAAGGTCATCCATGACGTCAACACGCTTCAAGACACTGCTTCAAAAAACCTTTATTTCTGACAGTCTTGACATGTAAATTATTTAGAGGAATTCTGTGTTGTCTAAAAATGCTGTTTTTATTACAATCAGTTATTAATACTTAGTCATATCTTCTTTTTGGGGCTACTGCATCTTAGTAAAACATAAGCAGATCCATACAAATGGATTTTCATAGGCTCTGAATCAAGTTTGCACACAAAACAAGTTAAAAATATATAATGATGGATTTTTCCAAATCAATTTTATATAAACTGAAAGTTATACATGAAAAACTGAGCTTTCCTGAATAAATCTGAGGTTTGAACAAACTGGTTTAGTCAATGATTCAATGACACACTCATAAAGACAGTCGCTTCATAAATTCATCTGTTCAATCAATAAATCACCTATAAAGACTTATCAAGTCACTTGATTTGTTCTTGAATTAATCTGTGTTTTGAATGAATCAGTTTATTCAATGATTCTGTGACACACTGAAAAAGACAGTTTTTTAGGCCTTGTCCCAAATCGCACCCTAAACCCTTGCGGTCTTCCTCTGAGTCCACATTTTTGTGACGTAATGCCGCTTTGACTGTCGGGAAGAAGTCTGCTACGGAGCTCGCCTCAGTGTGGGCTCGGCAGAAGTGCACACCGAGAGAGCATAGTGGCCGCAAAGGGGGCACTCGTGAGCACCCTTCTGAAAGCTAAAATGACGAATGGGACATCCTACAGTCTCGTGGATTTAACGGACATGCGCATTCGACAGCCATTATAAGTCCGCAAGACTGCAAGTGTACATGAAGTGTGCCATTTGGGACAGGGCCTTACTTGTTTAGTTCCTGAATGAATCGGTGTTTTGCACAAATCCGTTGAGTTACTGAAGATGAATTCATGATTCACTTATAAAGACAGTCACTTGAACAAATCAGTGTTTTGAACAAATCCATTTAGAGAATCATCAGTGACTCACTCATGAAAATGGTTATTTGTTCAGTTCCTGAATGAATCAGTGCATTCAAACAAATCAATTGAACGAATGAGTCAATGACTCACTCATTAGGACAGTCACATGTTCATTTCCTGAATGAATCAGTGTGTTTGAACAAATTGGTTGAATGAATTATTCAATGACTCACTCATAAAGACTCATTGTTCAATTTCTGAATTTATCAGTGTTTTGAATGAATCAGCTTAGTAAATGATTCAATAAGTCACTCACAAAAAAACATTTTTTTAATCATTTTTTTTAAGTTCCTGAACTAATCAGTTGAGTAAATTAATAAATGATTCACTTACAAAGACAGTCACTTCAACAAATCAGTGTTTTGAACAAATCAATTAGTGAAACATTAGTAAATAACTCATGAAGATAGGTACTTGTTCAGTTCCAATCAGTGCATTTGAAAAAAACCTATTTAATGAATAATTCAATTACTCACTTATCAAAATGCCCACTTGGTTAGTTCCTAAATGAATCCGTTTTTTAAACAAATTGGGTTAGTCAATGATTCAATGACTCGCTCATTAAGAAAGTCACTTGTTCACTTCCCGAATGAATCAGTGTGTATGAACAAATTGGTTGAATGAATGATTCAATGACTCACTCTTAAAGACTCACTGTTCAATTTCTGAATTTATCAGAGTTTTGAAGAAATCAGTTGAGTCATTTATTCAATGACCCAACTCATAAAAACAGAAACCTGTTCATTTCCTAAACTATTGTTTGAACGAATTGGTTGAATGAATTATTCAATGACTCAGTCATAAAGATTCACTTGTCACCTACTGGCATAACAATGTAAACTTAAGAAATAGTCAGTAAGACACAGATTTACCAATCATCCTATAAGAAGATGCATGTTTAATCTTGACCTCTTGGCATTTTCGATCTGTCGTCTATTCTTTTCTCTCATTCCTTCTCTTCTCATCTCTCTCTCTGCTGCAGACAGTGCTTTGGGCAGTAGCAAAGATGACAGAACGCTCTCAAGAATGACTCACAGATGGAGAACGCACAGAAAGACGAGGGCTTGGAAAGGGAAAGCCAGCGAACAGCGTGAGCAGTGCAGTGCTGGAGCATGTGAGGGCAAGAAGGACTTCAACACACACACACACACACACACACACACTAAGAGCATACCAGTGCTGTGTGTGCGTTAAGAGGGTTGGGTTTCTAAATGACAGATCATTATCATGCTAATTAAAGCATTTTGTAGCTGTGACTCGTGCAGTATTTGTGTGTGTGTGTATGTGTGTGTCTAATTAAGGCCAGTTCATCAGCGCCCAGCTCATTTACAACGTGCTAGAGCGACACCCTGATTCAAGCACACGGACAGTAATGAAGCTATTAATTATTATAGCACTTTAACATATTTAGCCTTAACTGAGCCAACACCGAACAGCTGAACCACCTCAACTGAACCACATGAACCCAACAAAGCTTAAGCAGTTTAACACAGCCTAGCACAGCTGAGCCACCCAAACACAGTCCAACACAGGTAAACTCAGCAAAGCTAAACTAAACCAACACAGCTCAATCAACACGTCTGAACTACACCAAAACATTTTTTGGATAATAAAGGCTTTCATGAACAAAATGCACCCAGCATGTCACAAAATTTGCATTTTATAACATGCTGAATAATTTACAATGTTCTAACAACATCTGAAGAAGAAAAGTATAGTAATATAAACAATTAAGATATAAATATAAATAAATCATGTTTGTATATCTGGTTTAATTTAGCACTTTCCTAATTAATATAAAAACAAATTAACATATTAGTACAAACAAGATATGAACAAAAAATTTATATATTAATATAAACAATTATGATATTAATCTAAACAAATCAATACAAATTAATATAAACAATAATGAAATAATATAAATGAGAATACATTATTACAAACAACATAATTAGTAATTTAATATACTATATTAAATATATTAATATAAATGATTACAACATTCATCTAAACAAATCAAGTTAATATAAACAGGAATATAAATTATTATAAACATTCACATAATTAGTAAATTAATATAAACAAATTAATATATAAAATGTTGGAATATATAGTTACATTTCACATTTTCTTAATTGATGTAAAACAAAGCAACATATTAATATCAACAAATTAATATATAAAATGTTTTATTATATGGTTTAATTTTGCACTTTCTTGTCGACTAAAATTTTAATTCCATCACCTAAAATTAGATGGAAAGTAAGAAAGTAAAATGGAGTAAAACTGGTATATCAAAGAAAAGATAGATAGATATATAGAATGATATCTATCTAGATAGATAGATATGAATAGTTCATTAATGAAACTCTACTTGAGTTCTAATTAGTTCATTCAATTCAATGTTCCCAGTCAATCGGATTTACGTACTCATTACCTTATACCTATATAATCAGGACGTATTCAATGAATGCTATGTCTGCTATGCATGTCCTCATCTTAGCCCACCACCTCCCCAGCACCACCTGCCTAGATCTGCTACGGGGATCTTCCTCTCTCTAGCAGCAGCAGAATGTTTCCTTCATTTTGTGATCCGAGCATTTAGCAGAAGCAAGTCTACTTGCTCTGCAGCAGCAGCAGCGTAGCAGTTCTAGTCTGTCAAGACCAAACCGATGAACATACTGTTTACATTAATAAAGATTTTACAATCTATCCTGAGAGTTGTCATGACTGAAATTAGATAGATAGATAGATAGATAGATAGATAGATAGATAGATAGATATACACAGCATATTAAGATCAGACCCTAAACCACCTGTTCTTTTGGTGATGGGGTATAAGCTGATCTCAGAGCTGCACCTTTACCTTAGAGGATTTATTTTCGTGGCCCCCATTGACTCAGTAATGTTGGAGATGGCACGGTCTTTGTTCGGTTCAATGAAGCGCTTCCTTGTGCTAATGCTAGAAGCTGGAGAGCGAGAGGTTTAATTAACGACTTAGTATTGATCAGCGCTGAGGTTACCTTTGCTGACAGAGCACAGTTTGAGGGACCGCATGCGCTTGTGTAAGCCAGTACCAAGAATGTAATTAAGAAATTCAGAAACCACTGGGGTGCTGATGGAAATTGGGATCCTTTTGGTGCGCAGTGTGTGTGTGTGTGTGTGTGTTTGTCTCCTGAGCCATTATTACACTCATAATGATCTGTTGTCCTTATCAACCAAGACAAACATACTGAGAAAAAAAGGAAAGAATAAAATAAAGTTAATGAGCATGAGCGGCCATTACATAAACAAACTGTATATTTACAGTGAAGGTACACCAATATTATGGTACTGTTATATACTTTAAAAGTAGTACCATGATATATGTCCAAGAAAAGAGTTATACCATGTTAAATGTCTAAAATATTTGTTAATATCATGGTAAATGTAAAAAAAAACATGAAAACACTAAGTTAAAAGTGTAAAAAACATGGTAATACCATAATAAATGTTTGAAAATTTGTAATAATGCTATGAAATATGTCCATAAACATATGTCATAGCACCACGGTAAATTTACAAAACAACAGAAACAGCACTGTAAATGTCTGAAATGTCCATGTTTTTGTCCAAAAAAACAGTAATATGTAATGTCTGAAAAAAATACCATGGCAATACCATAGTAAAAACTTAGCAATCACATGTTATAAATGTCATGGTAAACATGCTAATATTATGGTAAATGTCTGAAAGAAAACATGGTAATACTATTATAAATGTCCAAAAATAGAGTAGTAACATGGTAAATGTCCAAAATGTCCCATGTTTTTGTCCAGAAACACACACACACACACACACACAAACAAAAGTAATAGCATGTCAAATGTCTATAAAACATGTTAATACCATGATAAACGTAAAAAAAAAAAAAAGGCTCAAAATTGTAATAGTATGGTAAATGTGTGGTACCGTGGTACTCCTTGGTTGAAGACAAGAGTGTTTGGTTGGAGTGTCTTTGTATGTATAAATGTGTGCTCCAAAAAGTGAACTAAGAAAATCTCTCTCTTTAAGAGCTTTGAATTCAAGACAGGAAACCATGGAAACCAGAGGTTTTTGATAAATAGCTAAAGTGTGTCCCTACGTGTGTTTGCGTCCTGTGCTCTGTCATGTGACATGTCTGCAATCTGTAAGTCCTGACGGTGTGTCTGTGCATGTTTATTTGTGTATTCACCTCAACTAATCTTCAACTTACAACCTACAGTATAGGCAGATGTGCACGCAGCAATAAATGCACTACGGTCAGTCTCAACTGGTTTTTGATTACACATAACATGTTGATGCAACAAAATTACAAGTCATTTAACATCTGAAAATAAACATATATGTCCTTAAAATCAAACACTGAAATGTTTTAATATTATCATAAACTGCATAGGCCCAACAACATGTTATTAAACAACATATTATTAAAATGAAACAGACCGAAGAGAAAATAAAAAAGGTAATTGTGAGATAAAGATTAAAATAAAATAAATTCATATTCTTAAATATACAGCCATAATTGGCAGAAATAAAGTCACAATTACAAGAAAAAGGTCACATTGTGAAATATAATTGCAATTATAAGAAATAACATCACAATTGTGAGACAAATTTGCAGTAGCAAGATATAAAGTCACATTGTAAAGAAAGTCGCAATTACGAGAAATAAGGTTGCAATTGTGAGATATAGTCACATTGTAAAATATAGTTGCAATTGTGAAATATAAAGTCGCAATTGCAAGACAAAGTCAAAAGGCAGAAATTTGCTTCCATTTATATCCTAATTTCAGGTGAACCCAAATTTAATGTAGTCTGGGTAATATTTTCTTTAATCTTGCGTACAGTCTTCATTGTGTGTTTGTGTATTTGTGCGTGATTGTTAGTACAGTTACAGCGACCACAGCGGGACGTCTGCCTCTCAGTCTGTGTGTCTCATATAATTGTTGTTCTTTAATTCGGTTAAACTCAGGACAAAGAAACCGCCGATCCATTCTGCTCTCTCGTTATTCTCGGCCCTTTTTTTACGTTCTTTTAGCCATCTAATTGGTGGACGGCGGCGCATTTTAATGGAGGCAGACTCTGCTGAAAGCTTTTCACCGCTCACCCAATTAATCTCCCTCTCTCTTTCCCTCAAACACACATTCAAAAGTTTTCTCTCTGTTCTTTGTTTCACACAAAGTCAGCTTGGGTGAATCTCACGAATCCTATCACAATATCTATGACGAACATTTCCGGTTCCTATATGACCCCAAAATCAAAGGAAACAAGAAATGAAGCATATTTTTTAGAAGCATTAGCCGTTTCCCCATTATTTTCATGACATTCACAATTCGAGTTTTATGGCGTTTAGTACGTTTGCTAATTTGTGAGGCTAATCTATATGCTAGTGTACTCCCTAAATGCTAATAAAAATCCTCATTACCGAAATGCAAAAAGTCATTCTTATTACCGTAATGAGAAGAAAAAAACAGTGATATATTATTTAAATTATGTTTTTAGACATAATGGTACTATTTTTTGTACTGAATTTAATGTTCGTCAATTTTCCTGCTGAAACAACAACAACAACAACAACAAAACAGGCTATAGTTTCATGGTTTTAGCTGGTTTAATCTTGTTTAGGTACTCTCTCAGTCTGGTTAAGCTAGTATTAACAGGCCTGACCAGCCTAAAACCCCCCTAAAACCATCAAACTAGACCAGTCAGGGCCAGAAAGTCAGCTTAGGCTGGTTTAAGCAAAAGCCATTTTTATTTTAATACATATAAAGTCACATTGTGAAATATAAAGTTGCAGTTACGCGAAATAAAGTTACAATTGTGAGATATAAAGTTGCATTTATGAGAAATAAAGTTGCAGTCAAGGCCAGAAAACCAGCTTAGGCTAGTTTAAGCAAGACATATTAGAACCATTTTTACTTTAATTACAATTAAAAGTGCTATCTTACAAAAATGTGAATCATCATTGAAAATAAATTAAAATTACATTCAAAAACTCAGAAGTCCAGATGCAACTAGTAATAAAAATATGAACCATTTTCACATAAGATAATGAAAATGGTAATGCCACTGTAAATGTCCCCCAAAAACAGTAATAGCATGATAAAGGTCATGGTAAATATGGTAATATCATGGTAAGTGTCTAAAAAGAACATAGTAATTCTATGAAAAAAGTCTTTCAGAAAAAAAACCCCATTGTAATACCATGGTAAATGTCAAACAAACATGGTAATATATCATAAATTTACCAAAAATGGTAATAGATGCCATCAATCTTAATGGTCCTCAAACAGGCATCATTATCTTTCAACAAATTTCTAATTTCTTTTAAATTTGCGGTCAGAGTCGGACATGGTCTCCACAGGTTTGGTGATATTTACTCTCTTGGCGTTTCTCTGTTGTTTTTCTTCCATGTCACACACACACACACACACATATGCCGTATAACAGATAGCTGTGCGTTTTATAAACGGAGGCCTCCTGCAGTCTCAGCTCTGCAGAGACGCTGACAAATAGATGCCTTTCTTGAAAAGCTGCATGGAACGTGTGTGTTTGTGTGTGTGTGTGTGTTTGCTGCAGTGAGGTGTGGAGAGGGAGGGAG